TCAGGTTGTGGAGTTCAAAAGGAAAATGCTTTTAAAAGAATCTACAACCATATGGAGTTGCACAGGAGGAACACAGAAAGATGTCAAAACACATTACTCCCATGGCCTTTGAGCCGTCTCTCAGCAGATTCCCTCGAGGGAACTGACAGCACTTTGAAGGCCATGGAAACTCCTTCAACCAATGGAGAACTAAAGAGTGGAAACTGGAACACTGCATCTGTCCCTGAAGGTGTGTACCAGGGCAGCAGCGAGACCTCACCCTGAGCTGGCTTATCTTGACATAGGTGGTTGGTTCTCAAATCTTTTCACAAGGGGAAGCCCTTGTGAGTGCACTTGTGCACGCACGCACACACACAGACACCAAGCTTTATTGGACATAAACCCCAGAACCGAGGAGAGGTCATGACCACTATTCAAAATGAGCCTCAGAATTGACAGGCATGATCTTCTTGAAGTTAGTTCTTAACTGGGCCAGACCCTCCATTCCATGTTGCCTTCTCGGGGACCCACAGGCTTCTTTCCTGGTTGTAGGGCTCGTGCGTACATTCTCCGGACCAAGGGCATCTGAGGCCTCTTCCATGTGATCACTGTCAAAAGGATGTGCATGCAGAAACTTTGGGTTCTGCCTTGGGTGACTGTCCAACTTTCTCTGTTCACCTAAAACAATAGGCAGCTTTTACTGGTTGCCCTCACCATTTGGCCCTAGCCTTTTCCAAAGAGAACAGTTTAATTGCCTTCTAGATCCCACCAGACAGCAGGGATTGTTTTAGCCTCCTAAGAGAGAAATACTTTGTGAGAGAACTAGTAGGACTCATGACATCTGAGGCAAAGACATGTGTGTTACACAAGTGCATGTGGAACACACATTCTAGAGGAAATGTAAAAATGCACCAAGAGTTCAATCAGATAGATGCAGTGTGAATCTGCCCCTTCTGGCTGTGTGATTTTGGGCAAATTAAATAAACCTTCTAAGTGCCATTTATAAAAGAGGAATAAGAATATCTTTCAAAGTTGATATGAGGGCTAAATGAAATTATTTATTATCTCATTGTCTAAAAGGACCAAAGAAAATAATCTCTAATATGGTTTTAAAAAATGCATGACTCCATCCATAAGGAAAATCCTCTTTATACCCTCCCCACTTCCAGGATGAAAGAGAGAATATATACAACAGAGATCCTTAATCTTTAGGGGATTGTGGACCACTTAGAGAATTTAAAGAAGGTTAAGAGTTGCTTTTTCAAAAAAAAAGAGCTGCTTTTTCCAAAAGAAGCATGCAAGTCAATATTCTAACTGTAGATGCCTTGAAGCTCATCTGTGGGCTGCTCCAAGGAGCCCAGGCTGAGAACTCACTTAAGCACTTCCCTGCAGGCCTGCCTTCTATCAGCAGGGTGGGATAAGTGACTGTGGCAGGCCTAGGCCTAATGACATCCCAAGCCACTGTCATAGCAGAGGGCTATTCAGTCTACCCAGATCCTGACACCCTTGCCATGGACCAATACTTCTACCTGCCCCTCAAGTTAGAGGGCAAGTCTGACAAAGTTGCCCAGTTCCTTTGTCTACACAGAAAAAAAAAAAAAAACAAACAAACAAACAAAAAAACCAGTATTGAATGGGTTCCTAAGGTTGCACCATCTCACTGGAGAGATAGTCTCCTTTGTGATTTATGACTAAAATGCACTAACACTGCTTGAGTCCTTACTCACCAGGCAGGGTGCTAAACCCTTGACACGCATTGTCCTCTCTTACAGAATGAGGTGGCTTTTGCTATCTCCATTTGGTAGTCAGCTGAGTCTTAGATGGTTTAAAAGTCGTTTGCTGCAGGTCACCCCCCTAGTAAGTGATGGAGGCAGGCTTGGAGCCTGAGCCCCTCCAACCAAAAAGCCCTATTGTCTCTTCTCTGCTACCTGCTCCAGTCTCCAGAGGAACAGCAGATTTCCTGGGACATTTCATAAGTACTGACACTTGGGGTCCTTACTTGTTTCCCTGTAGGTCCCAAAAGCATTGATTACCCCATCTTCCCTTAGCTCCCCAGCCCTGAGGAGCCCACTCTGGAAATATTTCCCTCCACATATAAGCCACACCCTGCCTGCTCCACACTTGTATGAATCCATCATTGCATCATCCCCAAGGCCGTCAGTGTCCAACTTTCCCATGGATGGCAGGCATGGTCTTCAAAGCCCCCACGTGATCTCCTATATGAACTTGTTGCTTCCTATTTCAGATAAGAACCAGTCCTTTTGTCATATTTGAATTTCAAATAGCCACCCACCTTATTAGCTTGCCTGCCATTGTCCTCTAAGAAATCCAGGTCAGTCATTTGTGGTGAAAATGTAGCTATGACACAATGGGCTAAAAGTGAACAAGACTGTCTCAGGTACACCCAAATCTTCATGAGCTGATGCCTCAGTAAGTTTCAAGGTGCCTTGAAAATGTGTTTATATGAAAGTTTCTTGAGTATTTAGCATTTTTAAAATAATGGAACAATTCTCTGTCTCCCTCTCTCTGCCCCTCCTCTCTTTCTTTCTTTCTCTCTCTCTCTCTCTCACACACACACACACTCAAAAATGAATAAATGTTTAAAAAAATTTTTTTAAATTTTTTAATGTTTATTTATTTTTGTGAGACAGAGAGAGATAGAGCACAAGCAGGGGAGGAGAAAAGAGGGAGACACAGAATCTGACGCAGGCTCCAGGCTCTGAGCTGTCAGCACAGAGCCCAATGCAGGGCTCGAACTCACAACTCACTTCAGATCATGACCTGAGCTGAAGTGGGATGCTT